ACCCCCAAGGGCCCCTATCCGCCCGGAACTTATTTTTATGGTATCAGCTTTGTTCTTTTCTTTTGGCCTGGTAAGAAGCTGCAATTTTAACTGTTAGCTTCTTCATAGCTATCTTCTTTATTGTAAAATTGGTTCTCCTTTTTGTGTATATTTCTTTGATGTTTGAATCACATCCTCTATAACTAGGGCCATGAGTTGGCTGTCTTCTTTGTATATCTATATATTTGGCAGGAGGTAATATAATACTGTAGTATGGTTGCACTGTTTGCCCCTTACTATGTGAAGTTATTTTTCCTAACTTCTAGTCTTGAGACTTCTTGTGAATGCAGGATACAGCTAGGCCAGCCGGCTACTGTCAAGGTTGCGGCGAACCTTACTAGGTTATTATCCTATAACAACAAGGTTTGCTCTCTAACCAGTATGGTTTTTAAATTGTTAAGTACTGGTAACTTTGCCCGCCAAGGCTTAGGTAGATGGGAAGAAATCACCAAGTGTTTTTTTTTCTTAGTTGGGATTTGAATTATGATCTCCAAAGTTTATACCTACTTCATTGGCCACTAAGCCACATACATCATACATAATATATGACCTGGGTTATAATATATGATCTATTTTTTATATTTATTTGATTCATTGCTCTGTATATTCAGGATAGGCTTCAAACGGGTATGATTATTGGTGGTTGGGACAAATATGAAGGAGGCAAAATATATGGGATCCCTCTTGGAGGCACAGTCTTGGAGCAGCCTTTTGCTATTGGAGGTTTGCTCTGAATCTGTTCTTCTTTGTCATACACACTTTCCAGAAACACTTGGCTATTGAAGGTTCTTTTCAGTTCACAGGAAAAATTCCCTTTTTTCTGTAACTATTTAAGCAGACTCTTTAGATAGCCCCATTTGGCAAAAAAAATTGATTTCTCCAAGACTCCGTTAATACAAAGAGCTGAAAACTAAAAAGCACAGCAAGAATCAGCAAAAGTTAGATGATTGAAATAGAAAGAGGCAACTAGATACTCCATGCCATATATCTCGTTGCATAGTTTAAGAAACATAAACAAATAAAGTACCTTGTTTTTGTTGCTGCACATAAATGGCTGCGCGGGTGTATGAAAGAGAGACAGAAGGAGAGAGGGGGAGAGGGAGACTGAGAGGAACGCCTATCACTATGCAAGGGAGATGGGTAGCTGCATTGTTGAATAGAAGAAAAATAGGAAAAATTAAATGATACCAGAGCACAGGTGATAGTAGCATATGTTTGTTTTCAACAGGTTTTAGTTTATCATCCTCATTACCTGGTAGTCTGGTTCAGTGAAACTCATGTATCTCTTTGAATGAGAGTGCAGAATACTGTTAGTTATTTCTCTAGATGGCTCCGTTAATGGAGGATTTTCCTAGAATTCTTTTTTTAAACCCAGAAATATGCCCCCCCCCC